TGTGTGTATATATATTTATATATAAACCTGTTTAAAAGAGACGAAGAAAAAAAAGGAAAAAGTTGGCCAAGCATCAAAACGTACCGATATGACGACAGTGGAGCGTTTTTTTATTTTTTTGTTATAGTTAGGATTTGGATTAGGATATATATATATATATGTATATATATATATATATATTATATAATGCGTCCCACTCTGTAGTCTTATATTTTTTTATAGTGCCCCAACTGAAAAAACTTTTTTTGTTTTTTTTACTCCGATACTATTCGCATATTTGAAAGTAATACGAACTCAAAAAAATATAAGCAGGGGAACAAATCTAAGCTTAATAAGAAGATGTGTAAATTTAAGTAGGGTAACTTAGGAGGTGAACTACTTTGAAAAATAAAAATAAAAATAAAAATAAAATAAAAAATCCTACCGGTAATTTGTCCTCGGTTGGGAACTGCAAATACGATCACCAGTTTTGAGTTTGTCTTTCTAGAATTGATATTGATTTTTTTTTTTTTCTATTTTCCCCTTGATAAATATTTTATTGTAGGGTATACTGGATCTAGATTATGACAAAAAAAAAATAAAAAAGAAATACCACTCAAGATTGTCAAATTTATTATTTATGTCATTTTATTTAAAAATAAAAAATTATCATTCAATTAATAAAAAGAAACAAAAGACCACAATAACACTCAATTATTTAAAATAATATAAATAATAGGCATGTACAAAACATGACAAACCGTGTACTTTTTTATTAAAAAAAAATGAATATGTTTTTTTTCCGGAATCAGTACTGTCGTTTGCCGTTCATCCACCGGATGTTTTTGTTTCATTATATGACGTTAATCGTCATTAATTCGTTTGGTCTTATTTTACAGTTTCTACCGCGTTTACAAGAGCTACAATTTGTGGTTTTTATTTTTGTACGTCGTTTTTAAAGTATTCTCATTTTGAACAATTTAACTAATCATTCCCAACAGATGTCGTTTTGTTTTTTGGTTGTTGATGCTCCAGCCTCCATCTGATATCTTTTCCAAAACGGCGTCGTCTTTTATTCTATGTTGTCGTTGTTTTTTATTTGTTTTTACTTTGTTTTGACTTTTGATGTTGTTGACTTTACAGTGATGCGCATTGACGTTGTTGTGCTTACAGTTTATGTCGTTTGCAAAGTTCTGTCGTTTTCAGTTAATGTCCTTTTTCAGTTTATTGTTGTTTTACAATCTCGGATTCCAAAAATCTTTCTTACGTAGATGTCGTTGCTCCACTTAACTTTTTTTTTTCAAGCCGACTTTTCTTTGACGTTAATAATCATTGTGACCCGTTTTGTAGAGGTGCCAATGTTGCTCCATTTGTTGTCGTTTCTAGGGTAATAATCAAATGCCTAATTTTTTAGATAAATTAGACAGTTATCCCCGAACTATAGGCCTCACCTCACTACACAATGCTCCCAAACTTTAAATTTAGCTTTTTCTCCCCCTGAATTTCAACAACTTTTGCAAAATTTCCCCTTTCTTAAATTTTTACTTTTGTTATTGTCGTTGGCTGTCATTTATAAACCCTTAAAGGTCCCGATATCAAATAAATTAAAAAGAAAGTTAGGCATAGTAAATTATAATAATAACTCCTGCTGTGTGACAAATCCTCCTCCTCTGCCACCGTCATTGTGGCCGTGACAATCCATGTTCTGGTCGGGTAAAGTGGAGAGCTTGGCGGAGGTGAAACGTAGAGAGGAAAGAGAAAGAGAGTGGGTTTGAAAGAGAGAGAAAGAGAGATAGAGAGAGAGAAAGGAAATTATTTTGGGGAGGAAAGGGAAAATATTGGCTGAGCATTGTGATCGGCGGTGACGTCAGCTACCATAGTATGGTTGCATGAGAAGGAGCTATAGAGTAAATATTTACTAAATTATTCAAACGGCACTTATTATTTGTGTAATACGTGTTATTTATATTAACATCTTGACATAAAGAGTTCTTTTAAATTTTTTGCATTTTACATAACATTTTCCATCATTAATTTAATAGAGGGGAAAATTTTGCAAGAGCCTGAAGTTCAGGAGAAAAAAAAAGCTAAAGTTAAAGTTTATGGGTATTTTGTGACAATGCGTATAGTTTGAAGGGCAACCATGTATGTTGTCCTAATTGTTAATATGTTATATTTAGTGGTAAATTTTGTCAAAAAGTATGACTTATGGCAAATTTAGCACAATAAATGGTATTTCATCAAAGAAAATTTTGTAATTCAAATGTCAAATTTATCATTAACTACTCAATTATAATAACCACTGCATTAGCTTCACATAATGTTAACATTTGCTTTCCTGTATCTAACTTCTAACTGCTCGCGTTTACATTAGATACGTAAGCGAGGCCAAATGTGATGACATACAAGCTTAGCGTCTGAGGGAGGAGTTGGCATAATATAATTCTGTATATTCTATAGCTGACACTGCCATATTCTTCAGCTATAACAAAAGTGTTGTCGTTTTCTTAATTGCTCGCAATTTTTGGAGTGATATCTTAAGGTTGTTCATGCTCAACGTTATTCAGCTCATTTAAGTCGTCATTTTTCTAGTTGAAGTTGTTCCTAGCTATGCTTTTAGGGAGGGAAACAACACCGGCCGATAGTTGATTAATGGATATTCTAACCTGGCTTGAAGGTTTTATGTTATGTTTTGTTTGGTTGCTGAGAAAATGGTTCTCTTTTTCCCGTGTTTTGTAGGAAATCAATCTTAATCTTGTTTGCCAAACAACTGGCTTCTTTTTCATTTCACGGGTATGTGTAATGTAGATGGCCTTTTTTTGTCCTTATTCGCTGCATCCACACAATCTAGTTTTTGTATTATATAATATTATTAATTAACATAAATTGTAAGAAGAGATATATTCCCTCTTTTCTCTTGAAATTGTTGATTTGCAATGCATGCAATGGATAATACATATGTCTCAATTTCTGAAGCACTTTTTAATGGCTCTGTACCAAAAAAGGTTACAGTCTCAGAGACGCAGATATTTAATTAGAGAACTAGACAAATATTGCAGTGATAAGGACAACAGGGCATGAATTCCCCACAAGTGTGGAAATTAATTGGTCAATTTAGCGCTATTTTGCAACCCAATTTCCGAATATTAATTTTGACATTTTAGTACAAAATCCTTACCAACACATTGTCCCAGCCATTATACTAATGGTTGTTAAATATTATAGCGAACGGAAAAGCCATTGTTCGCGAGATCTAAGGACAGAGAAGCACACCTCCAACCACAAATTCTCATATCTCAATTCAAATTTAATAAAAATTATTCGACCCAAAAAAAAAAAAGAGTAACTAAAACGAGAAAACTTTGCTTTGATTCAACATGAAGGGGGTACAGTGTTAAAATTAAAATTTTATGAAACAAGTAGACAAAATCTAAAAATCTGGAGAGGCAAAAGTGTTAAAAACCCTCTAATTTTTAGCAGTGATTGATCAAAATATGCTCTTTAGATTTCATCATTGAAAAATAATGGTGACATTCTGTAAATATGGCTCAACTAATAATCTATTGTATCCTTGTCCATTGACATGATGTGGCTCTAAGTTGTGCAGTAATCTGACAAACTTCACCATTGCAAGATCCAAGAAAGCACAGTTTTTCATGTGAATGATTACACAATCACCCCCGCTAATTGTCGAGAAATAACCATCTATATATATGAATTGGGTTTATTTGAACTTCTTTATTTGAACAAAAAAATCTGAATTATATGGTTTATCTGAATTGACGTTTAAATGTATAGTTAAAATCTAAATTTAAATAAGAAATAAATTTAAATTTGTATTTAGTAAGTGTAAAGCAGAGAGAATGGACATTTTTCACTATTTAAAAATGGTTTGAACTATTAAATTGGGAGGGGAGTTAAACTTTAAGTTGAAAGCCACTAATAGAAATCTAGGATTTAAAAACCTTTAATAACCGTCGTTAAAAGATTTGACGCCGGTTAGGAGAACCGTCATCTAACGGCGAGTCGTTAAATTTATGTATGATATAATGACGGCTTTTATCCGTCGTTAAATAAAACATTAGACGACGGTTTAAATCAAAATCGTCGTCTAAGATATTCTCAAAATATTAAATTGAGCAGTTACGGAGGATCAACGACGGTTTTTTTTTATTATAAAAATTGTCATTAAATAGGCGACGTTAAATGTCTCTTTTTCTATAATGAGTTTAACTCAATTTAAACGGGAATATAATTCAAACTTCTTACTTACCAAACATTATTTCAAACTTAATTCACAGCTCGAATTAAACCGAACTGAACTTAGCTAAGTCGAACCAGTGAAACAAACGGGCCAATCATTACTCTTTCATTAGTTTATTAGGAAGTACAATGTTGGAGGGCAAACAACTTTTTCAAGTAAACCTGCATTGTCATTTCATAATTGGCTGGAGTACTGATAATTTCTAGTACTTGAGCATCGATCATTTTAGCATAAATATGTGAAAGAGACTATTACGAAGTACTATATATATATATATATATATATATATATCAACTTTGACAAATAATGATGCGTATTTCCATTGTTTTTGTTGTCCTTTAAATCTTCATTATTTGTTACTCAAAAAAAAAAAAAAAAAGCCTTCATTATTTGTATTGGCCAAATTAATTAAGTTCATTGGATTAAGATGACAATGAGTAGTCAATGGGGTTATACTATGGAAAAGACATGAAATGATCTTAAAACACAATCTAATATTCATGAATCATAATTCCACATGCTTCTTTTCCCATTATCATGTCCTTTACTTTGTGCTCTTGTTACGAAGAATTAACAATTCTATGTATTTAAACAAGTGTGGGGTCGTTTTCACTGTTTTTGTAAAACAAAACACAATTATAAAAGGATATAGACATTCACATGCATGGCACTTTCATAATCATATACACTAAAATATATAACAGATACAAAATACAAGTACCAAAATAAAAAATAAAAATAAAACTAGAGAAATGGAAAAAAAAAAAAAAAAATACTGCCTCAAACTAGCTAGAACATTATTGAAACATATAATGATCATCATGATGATCCCTTCAAACTACTAGACACACTCCACTGATCCGAACTCGCCACCGAGGAGCCCCCGCCGCCGCCGCCGCTACCGCACTTCGCCACCGTCCTGACGCTCTCGATCAGCGCCTCCGTCCGAGCCTCCTGGGACAAAATCTCCGACAGCTGCTCAGGGCTTATCACAAGCTTAACCTTCCACACCCCGCTACTATTGTACCTCGGGAAAACCTCGGGGTCCGGCCGCCTAGCGCTCTTCACGGCCGAGCCGTGGCCCCCGCACGACATGCGGTAGGGTGTGACGACGGCGTCGTTGTTGCCGCCGGCCGCCGCCGTCGTTTTGGTGGCGGCTTTGTAGGGGTTGAGAGGGAGGAGGTAGTATAGCTCGCCAGGGTGAAGCTCGTCGTTGTGGAGAAGCGGTTGAGAGAAGAGGTCGCGGCTGCGGAAGATGGCGTGGCCGGGGAACTCGTTGGTTATGGAGTTGACGGCGATTGGGGCGAAAAGCTCCATGATTCCTCCGCTTGATGTTACAACCTTGACAACCTCCGATTCCGATATTTCTCCAAAACCTTTGAAAACGCAATTTCCCATGATCTCCTAGAGATGAATTTTTCTTTCTTCTATTTGTCCTTTTCTTTTCTTCTTTTTTTTTTTTTGATCTGTTTCTTGGTTAAGAGAGAGATAAAGGATATTATACATTAGCTAGAAGGAGTTTCTTGAGGGCTTCGTGGTTGATCCATGGTTGGGTTGTGTTTTACAGCCGACACAAGAATCCTTTTCTTTCCCAAATCCAAAATCCTATGAATGGCGTTTTAATAGGAGAGGACCCCACTTTTCCTTCAACGACAAAAAACTTGGGGAGTTGGTCAAATTGGGAATGTTGAGACTTGAGGCATTGTATGATCGGCGTGTTCAACGGTTGGGATATGATCGTCCCACTTAAGATATCGCACGTAAAGAATAGGAATAATTTATACACGGCATATTTACTCATAAATATGAATGAATAGAAAAGGAATTTAAAATTACCTTAAAGAGAGAAAGGAAAAAGAATATAAAAGGTTATTTAATTTATGTTTATAACAAAAGATAGAATTTTATCCGCAAATTTCTTTAGAAAGATTTTTATTTATCCCCGCCCAAAAAAATATAAAAACAAGTAGAGAAAAGGAACCCGTGTAATTTTAGGCTTCCCTTTTTTCATTTATGTCATAGTTTAGATTGTTTTCAATTGGAATACAAGGCACCAAACCCTTTTTTTTTTTTTTGTAAGAAATAAGCATTAATCCCCTTTTTTTTATTTCTTCTCTTTCTTTCCAAAAGATTTCTAAATTTAATTTTATTCTATTACGAAAATGCAGGTGATTCAATCTAATTTGAGCCCTGTCCGAAAAGGACTTCGATGGGGTCCAAATCCAATGAGTTGCTCACGTGTGAAACAGATCAAGTGAACGTTGATATGTATATATAAACGAGTGAGAATGAAAAAGTTTTCAATATAAAATAATAAGAAAAAAACTTTAAAGCAAAAAAAAAACAAAAAACAAAAAACAAAACAAAAAAACCAAAAACAAAATTCACGTTTAAGGAGAACTAAGTAATGAGGAGGAGTACGGGTTTAAACCTTGAGATATTTGTATATGCGGTGGTCAACGGTTTAGAGAAATAGTTAAAATGTGACTAAGTTGGGTTGATAATCATATATATATATGTGCTTTTAATATATACTGTGGATCTACGTGTCGTCATTGTCATTTAGATTTAAAGAAATAAAGGGTGAGCTTAGTGGGTAATGCAAATAGGCCCTACCTTAACAAACAAATATTTTTCCCAACCTAAAGATGGTGTCGTTTTACGATCATGACTTTCCTTTTTCTAATTAGGGAGATTATCTCGTATGTCTAGCGTACCAGTAGATTAAATTTTTTTAATCATTGAATCTGCGTATTTTTTAACTTTTATGTGATTTTACACATATTATATAAATAAAAAACTTGACCTCTTAATATATTGACGTATCGAAAAATGTCCTTTCTAAATTAATCTTTGTCTTATTTCTCTTATCTTAAGATAATAGAAAGAAATTAGGGAGAAAAAAAAAACGTGTTATTTTTGCCCTTGATATATTGCATTTTCACAAAAGAAAGGTATATCTAGGCCTCTTCAAAAAAAAAAAAGTATACCTGGGCCACAGTCGGTGGGGGGAAAAGGGGCCAGGATTCTGATCATTATCTGAATGAAAATGAAAGCCGACCAATACAAGTTAAAAGCCCTTTTCCATGGAACCCGATTCCTTCCCAGGTCTGGATTAGGTACCAGCATAAGCATCTTCTTTCTTTTCAAGAAAAAATTATGAATGAAGCTAGCTTGCTTGATATAATTTTTGTTTCTTCTTCACCACCTTAGAGCTAGTGCAATATTATCACGTATGAGCGATATGAGAGGCGTCTATGATAATTTAATGAAAATGGATATTAAGAAAGAAATAGAATTAATTGCCTCAAATCTTGAAATAAATGACTGAGCAGATTGACGAGTTAAGAATGGATAACGTAGAGATTACCAAACTACATGAGGGAAATCATAGAGATAATATTGCATGCAAGTATACTATTAATAGTAATGAATGTGAGCGTCACCAACTCAAATCTTTTGATATGATATATTAGTTGTCATTTTTACATTAATAAATATTTAAAATATTGTCACATTAATTAATAATAAGATATTACATTTATTAATAAAAGATGATAATTCACTTACCACATCAGTTGGTACACACAAGAGTTAAGGATTTGAATTAGTGTCCCTAGTATTTTTTTAAACGATTATTACTAAGGTCAGATGTCATCTTATCTCACACCATACACATGTCAACATACGAATAAGAGAATGCAGGTCATTCACAAAATTAATAGCTAGAGCGAGTCACAAGTCGCCAAATCACAAAACGAATCTCTAATAGGAAAATTATCAGTTGGCAAGTCGACAGCCTCTCGATACTAGTAACATCCTGTCAAAACGACTCGAGTGCAACTGGCAAACCAGCTGCTCATCTGATGAGTCGTGGTGAGTAGCTAGCGTGTTGGGACGTTTGAAAGGGGGATTCGGGCCATGATTCAAATCATAGTTCGTGACTCATATAATATTTTCTCTCACAAAAAACACACGTAAAACGAGAATGATTCTTAATCATGATTCTAAATTCATGAACCAAATGTACTTAAGATTCGTGATTTAAGTAATCGATGTGCATTTTCTCGATTATCTTCAAGAGATCCACGAATATCCCAGTCAAAGAAGATAACTAAACTCAAAAAGAGGGTTCTCCAAGCCACCCGATAAAATGAATAGCCTTATCCACACGTCGGAGGAGAAAAGCACTTGAAATTCAAATAAGAATCCTTCTTCAAGAACGATTCCAGAAGCCCATGATATCTATATGAAGGGATTGAACACGCCCAAGGGAGGCTCCTTCAGGCATTCAACGAGGTCTCGCACCCTACACATATACCAACAAACCCTATGCATTCCACAAAGAATTAGTCTTAGTTTTTTCCCCGATTTTCCTATTTTCTCTATTATTTTCCAATACTCTTCTTTCTTCCTTTTTTTTCTCACAATCATTATTGTAATACTCGTGATTGATCATAGTGAAAAATCTGAAGACCCTCCAAAAAACGTAGTTCTCATTAACAAGCGAATCTCTATAAATTATCATATCCTTGTATTTATTTTATTTTCTACAATTTATTTACTGTGATCACAATAACGTAAATATTGTATTTACTAATAAATACCCAACATAAATATTATATTTACTAGTATATATTATATTTATGTCAAGTAAGTAAATATTTAATTGTTTTAAAAAATATATGTTATTTGCTTCAAAATCGATTTTAAAACATGTTATATTGGTCTCTTTATCCCTAATAATAGACATTTCACCACATAAAAGCTTTCGGTGACAGTACTCGATTACATTTTGAAAATTTTCTTTCTTTGGTGAGGAATGATGATGATGGAATTGATGTCCTTAAAGAAGAAAACATTATTTAGTAACGGTTAATTAATATGGGGATGTTTTGTCCTAGCTAGGTATTAATTTAGCGAATTACTGACCAAGGAAAATGTGGGGACACTCACGTCTTATTGTCATACACTACATGACAAAAAGAGAAAACGCCGTGTCAACTGCATCATAAACTGGGCAATATTGGACACATTGGTTCCAGCAAAGGGAAAATGGTGAATTTGATTTTTAAACAATGCCATAAGACATCCATAATTGTGCCTGTTTTAGGCTGTAAAGACATTGATGAGCTTGCAAAAGCTGAACTTTTTACTTTTAACGGCGGATATATAAATATGAACATCGATATTATTTGCTTTTGGTCACGTGAATATGCCAAGGGAGTTTAGCCTTTTGACTCGCCCATATAAACATAGCCATCATTATTGAGTCGCTTTGATATTACTCCCTTGCCTTTTCAAAAGGAAGGCTTCTTTTTTTTTTTTAATTTAAATATGCAAAAAAAAAAAAAAAAAAAAAAAAAAAAAATTTTTTAAAAAAAAAAAAAAAAAAAAAAAAAAAAAAAAAAAAAAAACTTTGTTGAAAGAAAATAAATCTAAATCAACAAAAAAAAGGACAAGAAAATAAAAAAAAAAGCAAAAAATAAAATAAAATCATAGAAAAAACCTATCAGAAAAGTCTTAAGATTTCTCACTATGAGCTCTGAGCTCATGGAGAGACTTTTTCTTTTTTCCAATTAATACTAGCCAATTATTTTTTTTCCTCAAAATATCAAGATCTACTAATTTTCCTTAAGAATCCTTAGCCACAATTTTTGCCTCTTTTTACAAGTATGACATCATTGATTTCTAGAGTATTATAAGATTTAACAAGCCTACGATTTTCAAAAGGGTCTCATCCACTAGATTCGCCCAAAATTTTCAATTCATTCCCTGTAGAGAATTTGGCTGATGAATTGTGACAACCTTAGAATGGCTGGTAAGACTAATCTCCAAATTGATAGAAAGGAAATTATGGGCATGCATCGGATGACTAATATTCAGTGACAGTGCATTTGTACCATCCTTATGACTCTAATTAGGAGTAATTGTATTTTTGAGAACCAAATTTCTTGCATTCTCAACTAATTCCTCGGTTAATGCGTCCGATGTTAAGTTGCCAAAATTGTCTCCTTCTCATTGGATTCTGCATTATTAATATTGTTTTGAGCGAACACATTTATTTACCAATTGAAATTTTCAGAAAAACAATTCTCTTTGGTTGTGCATCTTGAACTACTGCCATAAGATCTTTCTCTGCTTGAATTTTGGTTGTTGGACAATTAGCCAAGTTTGGGTCTAAAACTCTTCACTGGAAAATGTACCCACCACGCAAAAGTTTTTATTCTTGCACTTGATTATTGCGATTAGGATTTCTTTCGCAATTAACAAAAGAGAGAACCTCATCATTAATACAACAGATGCAAAAATCTAGAAAATTCGTGGATTACACTAATGTGAAAAAAGCAATAGCCTCCCATATTTTAAACTGTAAGAGATACTTTGAACGTGTTTGGTATCATTTCTGTTTTCATTTTTCATGTTTTTTGAGGTAAAAAAACATAGATTGAGGAAAATGCATTTGGAGGAAAAAAGGTGGGAAAATAAAAATAAAAACGGTTTTCGGTTTAGTGTAAAATGACTTAAAAATTGAAAACAAATTTAAGTCGTTTTTCATTTTTATTTTTGGGTGGA